AGAGAAAATGACAGGAACACAATAGTAGTGGGAGACCTTAATACACCACCCTCAGTCTTTGACAGATTAAGTAGGCAAAGAATGAGTTAGGATAGGGAGGACCTGAATAATGTATTTCATGTGTCTGATTTAATAAATATATGTCAATTTTGTACTCTGCAAAAAGAAAATATACCTTGTCTCTAAGTAGTCATGAAACATTTACAAAAATTGATCCTATATTAGCCCACAAAGGACATCTCAATAAATTCCAAAAAGCAGAAACAGAACAGGCCATGTTTTCTGACCAATACAATAAAATGGAATGTGAATGGCAAAAGCTCAAACCAACAAATTCAAACACTTTGAGATTTAATAACAGCCCACTCAAGAACTCTTGGGTCAGAGGAAAAATCCAGGCTGCAATTACAGATCATTTAGGCCATTGACAACAATAAGAACATTGCATATCAATGTTCATGGGATCATGCCAGAGACAAATTCAGAGCTCAAGACCTTATATTAACAGAAAAGAGTAAAAATAAATGGACTAAAGATTTAAGCCCAGAGATTAGAAAACAATGACAAAACCACACCAAAGAAAATTAGGAGGCTGGAATTAACAAACCCAAAAGCATAAAATAAAGATTGGAAGACACAAACAAAAAACAAACAAACAAACAAAAAACCCTGATATGTAGAAGAGGTACTTCTTTGACAAAGAATAATAATACAACTAGATTGCTAACCCACAAAACATTAACACAGAAAATTAAGAAGTAAAGGAGTATAATTTCATATATAGAATTTTTTGAGGGAATATTACAGTTTTAAGCTAATGAAGTTTAAAATGTCCAATGGGTTTATTTAAGAAAAATAGAAATTACAAATTTAATTTAGGATTAGAAAACCTGGATGAACCATTATGCAAGGAAAATGTTGCCAAGTATGCAAGGCAGTATGCATAATGGTAAATGATGTGGGTTCTGGTGCCTCTCTGCCTGGGTTTGCACACCAGCGTCCCATGTTGGGCAAATTCTTTAACCTCTCCAAACCTCATTTTCCTTAACCTGAAACTGGTGATGATAATATCTATTTCCCAAAGCTGTTGTTGTGCAGTCAACAAAATGACAAGCCAACCCTCTACCACAGTGCTAACAGAAAGACTCCCCAAAAGACAACAGGCATTTTTATTGTTTCATTCCTTCAAACTTCCAAAGAACAGATATTTCATATGCTGTGTTAATAGTATTAAGGCATATAGAAAGCTGGAACACTAGGTCCGGCCAAGTGGCGCGTTGGTTAAGAGCTGGCTTGGGATGCCAGCTCTGAGCAGCAGGGCCCCAGTTCGGATCCCACATGAGGGCCAGTGAGGCTGCCCTCTACAGCTAAGATGGTGAACAACAGCTCGACCTGGAGCTGGGCTGCTGTGAGTCACTGGGGACAGCGTAGGCTGCAGCCCCTGCTGCAGGGGGCCTCCATAAGCTACTGTGAGTGGCTGGCAGCCAGCGTGAGCAGCCGGCAGTGGATGTGAGCTGCCAAGAGCCACCATGAGTGGCTGCCCAGAGGCCGGCGACAAATCTGCCTCACCCGGGAAGAGCGCAATGATAATACCAACATGGGCCAGTGAAGCGACGTCCTCCACAACTAGACTGAAGACCAAAAGGACAGCAACTTGTCTGTTCCCCTTCCCCCAATTCCCCAGCGCTGTTCCCCTCCCCCAATTCCCCAATTAAAAAAAAAAAAGATGGAACACTATTCATTTGACTTTGCAAAATCATTATCTTGATGTATAAACCTGACATGTTAAAACAAAAAAAGTACAGATTTTCTTTATGTGTCTATATGAATTTAAAAAATATATGCAAATAGAATCCAGTGTTGTAATGAAAGAATAAGATAACAAAATCAAATAAGGTATTTCCCAGGCATAGATGAATCGTTCAATATGAGGAAATCTATCAATAATCCATTTCATCACATCGCCAGGCAATTGGCAGTGTATTGACCTAGAAATGCTGCTTTTAGTTATTCGCCTAAGGAAATGAGACATGGCCAAAGATTCATGTTCAAGGTTGTTTGGTGTAACAATTTTAATCTTTTCAATAACCTGAATACACAACAAGAGGGGATTGTCTAAGTATATATATTAAGTAAACATATTACACCTAAATTAATAGAGAAATATACAATAGATTATTCTACAGAAAGGACTATTGTGATACCACATAAAGTATTTTAAATAATATTTCAAAGCATGAAAATATATTCAAGATGTTGTCCATTAAGTATAAAGGAAACAGGTTAAAAGTAGTATATGATATACAGCATTCTTACATATGTGGAAACTATACATATTTGTCTGTGTATATGTACATATATGTATGCACATTTAAGCTTTTTCCTTTCTTTTGCTACTATAAACATGTTGCGATGAATAATCTCACATGTTTGTTATTTTGCACAAGTGTGAAGATCAAATCACTATATTTTCTCCATTATAAGAGCTGTAATCTAATTCTCACTTGTGCAAAGTGAAAAATGTTACAGGTTATTCACTGCAATATGTGTGTGTGTGTGTGTGTGTGTGTATGTATGTGTGTGTGTATGTGTATGTCTATGTATGTGTGTGTATGTGTGTAAACGTACAAGTACATATACTAATTTATGGGGGAAGGAAACAAAAAATGTAATAAAATGTTACAATGGTAATTTTTGGACAGTTTTAATTTTTATATTTATACTTTAAATTTGTTCCTTAATACCAAGGTAGGAAAAAAATCAAATGTTAGCAAAACATTTGAAGTAAAATTCAAACAAAAGAAAAGCACTGCATTTGTATATAAAATATCTAAATTCAGGACATTCATCCTGTCTGTATTTGTAAACTCATCTTTAAAAAACAGAACTACTTCAAATAAAATAGTTACGGAACATTTTACAGTGTCTGGAAATTGGTAGGTCAATAATATATATTCAAATGAAGATCACTATGAAGTTTAGTTTTAAAAAAAATGTATGTGAAAGTATTCATTCAGCACAGAGCCTGGAGCACATTGGTTAACAGGAATTATCAACTGAACCTGAACTATCGCAGTTTCCTGGTGACACCTGGACTCTGAAAGGGAAGAGTAGTAACTGCTACACTCCAGCATTCAACCAAGATTCTCATTTCTTGCAACTGTCTCTTTGATGCTGCCATAATTGCTTAAAGACAAATAAAAAAATAACAACAAAAAATAATGAAATTGGTTTTCTCCTTGCCTTTGGAGGACAAGTACAAAAGTCTATCCTTTATCTCCCTTTTGGTTTCTCTCTCCTTACTTAAATCAAGGTCCAGTGTAGAACTGATTCAACCTTTGGCAAATGGATTTTCCCTCACTATTCTGTCTTAGGGAGGGAGAATATCTTCGTGTGAGAAATTCTGGCTTACTGCCCAAACCCACCTGCTATTGGATAGTGCCCATGGCTACTTAAGGAGTCCGTTCTGAACCAGAGGAATGATGTAACGATTCCATTGGGATGGAACGTTTTTTCTGGTAGCACACAAGATGATTTTTCTCAGAAATGGACAGAGATTTGAGCTAAGAGAAATCCTAACAACAAGATATATGTGGGCCTGGAGTTAGGAGATGGCTGTAAGAACAGGATTTTGGGACACACTGAATATGGAGTCCAAAAATAAAGGGAGGGAAATGGTGAACGATAACTGAAGTCTCACATTCCAAGCCCATGGAACATTTAGTACCATAGGCAGGAGCTTGAACATTGGGGAATAAAATGATGAGCTCACTTTGGGTTTGGTAATGGTTTGGGCTGAGGGCAGGAATTTCAAGGGATGTCCATAAGCAGTTTAAAATCTAACCCTGCAGACCAGATGGACCTCAAACTAGAGCTGTAGATTTGGGAACTACCAGCTTGGGCAAGAAGGTAGAGCCTGAGTCTTCATGAAGACACCTGAGCCTTACGTAGCCCTGATATTGAGAGAATGGAAGAGGAAAAGGGATCTAGAGAGGGAGCTGGAGAATGGTGAGCCAGAGGGTATGGTGCCAAAGGTAGGAAAGATGGTTTCAATAGCAAGGCCTAAGGGAATGGAAACAGATCTAGCCCTGAGAGGATGGCGGAGTGGTAATTCCTGATTTAGCCAAACTAAAGCAAAGACCTCATGCCTCTTGTCCCCCTGGCTGTAGTTGAAATTAGATGATACACCAATGAAAAACAAAAACACAATGTTGAATTGAAACAATAATATGATGTTGAAGCGTGCTTTCGTGATAAGCCAAATCTTCATTCAGTTTTAGGAGCGCTTAGAATGCCTTGAACTCTGGGCTTTGACAACTATGACTATTAATTTTGTGGCTTCTTCAATCTTCATGGACTTTTGCATTATTAATTAAAATAAATGCTTTTGAAATATCAGGCTGTATCCTTTATAGGCAGGACAGTGCCTAGAACCCAGGACGCCCAATCCCAGGCTGCAGGCAGCTCACTTCAGCTTGCCGCATCTCAGGATGCACCCAGACACTGTGTATGAAGACCCAGGACATTATCAAAGCCTCATAAGGTGTAAGCACCTTAAGTTAGGGTATCCTCTTCCTGGCTAACCACACCCTAACACTCCTGTCCCCAGAGAACAATCTACTTCCCCTGCCCAATTCCCCACTCCATGTATATATATTTGCCAAAAGCCCCATGGTCTCCATCCTTCTCCTCTACCCATCCCCACCCCGGCAAAGCCTCTCTTGCTGGCCAGCCAGATCCACAGATGTGGGTGGGTCACCATGGCGACAGAGGAAGCTCTGATGCAGGAGAGACAGAAACAGCAGAGGAAGTTTCTGTGAGACTAGCACACTGTCCCCTGCCCTTTATGTGTTTCTGGGGCATCAAAAGGCCCAGGCCTCTTATAGGGGCTTCCTTTGACTCAGAGAAGCACATTAGAGGTCAAGAGCATGCTGCTGTGATGGAGAGACAATGGAATGCCTGAACCCTTCTTTAAACATTTCTTTTCTATGATTTTTCAGGTGATCATCAGTATAACCATCCGATTTTACGCAGTGCTACCCAGACCCCTACACATGGTGAGATGATTGAGAGCGCTCCGCATCCCACACCCATCCCACGTGGCTCCATCCCAACTACTGATGCCTCTCAGGGCATCAGACATGGTCACTGACTCACTGAAGCTAAGGACGTGGAAGGAGCCAGGTTCCCACCTTCCTCCAGGGCCACAGGGTCTCACTCTCACTTTTAGACCATCGTCCCCTTAGTATTCTGTCTCTGATATCGGAGTGATCGTCTAAGACTCTTTCTTAACCCATTTCCACTTGCAATTTAGATCACTTCTTGCCCTCATCAATTCCATATGTCCACAGGAAGGAGTGAACACGCTCCTTTGCCTAAGGCAACTTGTGGTAGGTACCGTTTGTGAATGACATCAGACTTGGTAAACGATATCGATCCTCCCCAAATGAATTAAGGTTTGATAACTCAAAACCAGACTGGGTACTTTGAGCTTTAGCCTCTTAGGGGAAGAAACTGAAAGCTGGAGAGCACAGAATTGTCAGCCTAGTGCCAAAGGGTCACAAAGCCATGTTTCCCTCTTAGGTTCTAACATCCTCCCACCAGGTCACAACTTCACATTTGGAACTGCAGAGAAAAACTGTTTTGGGTACCAGCTCAGCACTTGATAGAACATAAGACAGCCATGTAAATCATGAGCTATCAGTCATTCTTCTGTCTTTGCAGTGAAAGAGTGAAAACATTATTAAATTTTAGTGAGAGAGAAACTCGAACCAAAGATAAATTCTACAGCTCACCTGGAAGAGAGACCTACCATCTCATGTCAGGTTATGCTCTGCTTCAGCATTGAGAGTGAGGAGAGTTATCATTAGGAGGACGGAAGTGATGATTCTGATGTCCCCCTCCATGTTAGGCTCCTAGTAGAAACATGTGATGAAAGCAAAAGTTTAATGTGATGTTTCAGGTTGTGGGGTCTAGGAAAAGTTAGAACCAGGAGAGATTGGGGAGATCAGCTCCCCAGAAGCTGATACCATTTCTCACACATCACCATTTCTAGGAGTGGTGATGTTGACAGTGGGAATAGAAAGAAGGGTTCACTATGCAGCATTTTGGAGAAAGAATTGAGAAAACTTAGTTACTCACTGAATATGGCTGCAAGAGTCAATTATGAGTACAATGTTGAGCTATGATCAATTACAAGAATCTTGTTAACACCATCTAAGGAATCAGGAAAGCAGCCAGTGTACAGGGGATGGAGCTAGCGGTGGTGAGTTTGGATCTGGAGATCTGGAGCTGGATATGATCATAGGTCATTCAAGAAAAATCATTCAACCAGCAGTTAGAAACGCGTGAAGTCTGGAGGGAGGTTATACCTGAAGATTAAGTTACGCTTTGGAAGCGGTAACAGAAGCCTTGGGAGTGGGAGCAATCTGTGCAAGGAGGCTGAAAGAGGAAAGCAGAAGGCAGAAGCAGAGAGCCCGGGGGATGCCCATGGTGATGAAGCAGCAGCAGGATGAGAAGCCAGAAAAGGCAAGCGAGGAGGGCTCCACTTGCTCAGTAACATCCTGGAGGAATCACTGTGAGCTGGTTTTTCCCAGTGGGAGCCTACACAAGCATCGCCTCCTGATTGCAAAGGGAGGAGCCATTCTTCCCTCCCTGCTCTTCCTGTTTCCTTTTTCTCTGGTGTGAGGAGATGAGGGTAGACCAGACCTGGTCCCTCCCTGCCCTAGAGCAGCTCACAATCTAGTGGAAGCAGAGTTTTCTCTGCACTCCTTCCTTTCTTGGATGTTACGCTTTTCCCAGGAGATGGCAGAGGGGCTATTAAGACAGGATGTGGCCTGTGTCTACTTGATTAACCAAAGAGCATTCAGTGGATCCTACCTTGGAGCCAACACTATGAAGGCATCATAAAAATTGGGAAACAGGACTCTGCTGTCAAGGAGATTGCCATCTTCGGAGAGCAACAAGATCAACTCAAGTTACATGATTAGAGATCATGTGGACACTAAGCTGGGTGGTATTGACCAGAAGAGCGATAGGGCCTTGAAGACTTGAAATCACTATGGGCTGAAAAGACGTGACATTTTCAGAGTGAAGAATCTTGAGTAAAGGGAGAATTTGGCTAGAGAAAGAGGACAGAAGGGCACTGCAACAGAAGAGAGAGCAGGAGCAAGGGGCAAGGGCAATCACGGTGGAGGCAGAAGACAAGGAAGAGATGGCCTTGGCTCGGCAGCATGTTTTGGAGAACTGTGCAGGGTAAGAAGACCCACAAAGGTAGCATTTGGAAGAGGGTGAGCTGAATGGTGCCCTCAGTGGTTGTATGACGCCAACAGGCAGAGGGACGCTTATTCTTCCTCAGCGTGGCCGAAAGTGAAGAAACAGGAGCTCAGGGACTGTTGGCTACTCCTCGGCTCTGAGCCGCAATGCTCCCAGCTTTCTGCCCACTCCACTTCCTGGCGCCTGTCCCAATCCATACCGGGGAGGCTCTTTCTGTACAGCATGTTCTGATCTCTCTGGGATGCAGAGCATCCCCCACCCCCTCACATATGTGCTGGCGTGAACATCAGCTCATTGGCTTGGCTCCCCTGGCTCCATCCCCAGGACTGGGGGAACCGGTGAAGGCAGGAAAGGAGAGAGAAGCCGGGAGTTCCCTGTATTAAAGCTGCCCTTGGACTAAGCCTAGGAGCGCTTCTTTTTGTCCCATGATTCACAGAATTCCTGTCTTCCAGGGTTTAGCACTCTGTTTGCCAAGAGGCACAGGGAACCACAATCCAGTTACATTTGTCCAAATTTAGAGCCTGCCCCTTCTGGGTGTCCTAAACCAAAGTGGAAGGAGGAACAATGCAAGAGCCACCCATCTACCTCATTTCTGGGAATGGGACCACTGTTTCCCCAGCAATACCTGTTGACTTCTTGCTGTACCTCAAGTCAGTCAAGCACCAAGATGTGCTTTTCTTCCTTCGCTGGACCTCCATTCCTTCCTGCCCCCATCTTCATGGCCACTCCCTCACCCACACCTGCATCTCCTCTCCCCTCCTCTGACTCCTGTGCTGTTCCTAATTTGGGCCTCAGAACGCAGCCCAGCTCACTGACCTATTAGTCATTCACCTCCTCTCTTTTTCATCTTTTCTTCTATCCCTTACCCCATTCTTTTTTCCCAGGTCTGGCACTGAACAACACTCCCTTCTCTCTTCAGATTTTTGAATCTCAAGGCTCTATCTGAAAGGAAGGAGGGAGAAAGGGGGAATGATGTGCTAAGCCTTTTGACTACATTCTTTCCTCCCACAGCTCAGAGATAGCTAAAGGGCCTTCAAAGGAAGGAACTGGAATAAGAGGGAATGGCTTTGTAGATCCCAGTGGCTTGTCAGGTTCAGGGCTTGGGGTGGTCCAAGGCAGAAAGAAGGGGCAATGTGAGAGGAGAAATGACATCATGGACAGTGCGGGTTGGAATCTCAGTGGAGCTGAATCTTAGATCCTGTTCTACGGGCACGTAGATAAGACCAGTTACTCCTTCTCCTTCAAGTTAAGATTTTTCTGAGCCAGATAACTAGGTTTGCCTAAAACTGTTAGGGAAAGGACAGAACTTTCATGCCAAAATAGATAGTTTTATAACATCACCCCCCTCCACTCCCGCCCAGCTCCATCTTACGTCTTTATCAGAGAGCTCAGTGATGTACCGGGAGAAAGAGTTTGTCATTCAAGGAAGAGTAAACTGCCATCATGGCCCGAGGCAGATAAAACAGCACCTGCCCCCAGGCTTGGTGACTGGAACTGAACATGAGGGACATTGAGTCACTGACGCCATCTGTGTCCTAGCACAGGGGGCCAGGAAAGCAGGGTGGGGATGCCCTCCTGCCTGCCCCAGCCTTTGTCTTCACTAACGCAGTGCATCCCTCCCTTCTTTTGCAGAGAAGCCACGAATGAACAACATCCTGACATCAGCCACTGAGCCCTACGACCTGTCCTTCTCCCGCTCCTTCCAGAACTTGGCCCACCTGCCCCCATCCTATGAGTCTGCAATGAAAGCCCACCCCAGCAAGTACTCGTCCCTGAAGAGGCTAAGTAAGTGGGGTTGTGCTGGTGTTAGGGTCTCCCCCTGGAGCCTCACGACATCTTCCTGTGTTTCAGTCTCTCGTCCTACATCTGGTGAAATGGTGTAGAGTCCCAAGAACAAAGAGCGAGGGTAGCGTGAAAGAAAACAAAGACAAGCCCCTTGTTTTTGTTCTTTTGGGCCCGAGTCCATTCTCCCTATAGATAGAAGAGAGGCCATGGAGTCCTCAGGTCTACATTCCCATGGGAGGCATGCAAGAGGTAGCCATTCCCCAGCCTTGCCCCACATCTACCATCTTCAAACCATGGGTGTTCCTTACTCTCAAGATCTTGGAGTAGAGGCTACCAATGCCAGAACTTTCTCAGAGACCCCTCCCAGAAACCTGGCTGCGGAAGGCCCATAAACCACTCCCTCCCTAACACAGCCAACACTGTCTTGAGAACCTGAGACTCCCCACTCCCACACCCCATTTCATCAGTTGAGTCCAGTTCATCCATGAATCCCAGCTCTGTCACTTGAGTCCAGGAGGCTCTGGGGATTGACGGGTTTAAGACATTACAATGTCAAGAAGGTACATGGTGGAAGAGCTCTTCTCCCATAGCTTTCCTACCCTTGGACCTTCTACCCCCATTTCCTCATGATTCTACTTTTCTGACCACCCAACTGCAGGGCTGAACATTTGCTTGAAGCTACAGGTTAACCTACCATGACAGAAGTTCAGCCCATGAGTCCATATCAGCCACCTCCAAGGTGGAATGGTGACTCTCTATGACTAGAAGTGGGGATTTCCGATGATCCAAGGAATCAGATGCATGCCTGGGGTGGGAGAATGTGGCTCACCAGCAAGATCTATCCACCGGTGACCCTCTGGGAAAACTGAGGAGCAGTCAGCATCCCCACATTCTGCAGAGATCTAGAAGGCTGTCTGTGGGAAGCCACATTCCTGGAATTTGGGGCAACATGGGCTTGGTGTGTCTTGGGTAAGTTCAAGGGTTCTGCAGGCAGTGTGAGCTTGGGACGGTTTCCTGGATGGAGACAAGGGTAGAGCTCCTGAGTGAATGTAAGACTGATCTGGCCTGCTGGTGTTGTAGGCACAGGGGAGGAATGTGTAGGCTTGATTCTGTCGTGTGGGGGCTGGACGCCCATGTGTTGGCTTTCTATGCATTGGCTGTTACTCCAGAGAAGGTGTTACTATGTTCCTAAGTTACCAGCTAAGCATTTTCACAAGTGCCTCCTGGTTGGAGCATCTTTAATTTAGCAGGAGTCTGGTTTTGCAACCCAGCTTCTTTGAAGAGAGACTCTGAACCTTCTTGGAAAGCTGCTGGCAATTCCCTGGGCATTTCAGGAAGACCTGGGGAGTCATTCTGTTTTAGGACCATGGTGTAATAGGTGCATCACTGGAGCGGGAGTTCAGGGACTAGGGTTGGCCCTGGACTCCGCCATGAATCCATGCACTCCCTGGGGACCTTGAGGAGGTCCCTCAACCCCTGGTACTCAAAGTGGTCCACAGAGAGCCAGGGGCATCAGCGTTGTCTGGGAGCAGACTCTCAGGCCTGCCCCAGACACAGGACGTCTGAATCAGAATCTGCATTGAACAAGACCCCTGGGGACTGGTTTGCACTCATTGGAGAACCATCGCCTCCACTTCTCTGGGCTGCAGGGTCCTAGTTCAGTCTTGAATGCAGTGTCACAGTGTCACCCCAGCTGACTTTTCTCTCTCTGTCTCCCCTCTGCAGCTGACAAGGAGGCTGATGAGTATTACATGAGGAGGCGGCACCTGCCTGACCTGGCCGCCCGTGGCACTCTACCCCTCAACGTCATCCAGATGTCCCAACAGAAGCCCTTGCCGCGAGAGCGTCCCCGCCGGCCCATCCGGGCCATGTCACAGGACAGGGTCCTGTCCCCACAGCGGGGTCTGCCTGATGAGTTCGGCATGCCCTACGACCGCATCCTGTCAGATGAGCAGCTGCTCTCCACGGAGCGCCTGCACTCCCAGGACCCACTGCTGTCCCCGGAGCGGACGGCCTTCCCAGAGCAGTCCCTGTCGCGGGCCATCTCGCACACGGACGTCTTTGTGTCCACGCCCGTGCTGGACCGCTACCGCATGACCAAGATGCACTCCCATCCCAGTGCCTCCAATAACTCCTACGCCACGCTGGGCCAGAGCCAGACGGCGGCCAAGCGCCAGGCCTTTGCGTCACGCAGACACAACACAGTGGAGCAGCTGCACTATATCCCCGGCCATCATACCTGCTACACAGCCAGCAAGACTGAAGTGACCGTGTGACCAACCGGACAGGGCCAGGCGCCTGGCGGGGCAGGGCAGCGGCAGCAGGGGCCTGGAGTGGAGCTTCTCGTCCCCACGCGTCTCCCTTCCCTGGTCCCTTCTGTAGGAGGTGGGGGTAGGCCATCTTTGCCCAGACAGCCATACGCCCAGGACATAGCCCGATGGCCTGACATGGCACACTCAGACCTGGGATACAGAGCAGTCACTCTCACTCTTCCAGAAGAGTCAAAGGGGAGTGAGGAGAGGGGCCAGACCCAGTCTCACCCTCCCCGCCACCAACTCCCTTTCAGTCCCATGTCCCCTCTCCCCTTCCTGGAGGCTCAGCTGCAGGTTCTGTCAGCCAGGAGACCCTGGCCTGACCCTGGTCCGAAGTTGCCTGGGTTTGAACTGGCCAGTGGGTGCAGTCGATGGGCTGACCGAAAAGGGTACTCGGTCTTATTCATTTACCTAGAACCGCACCACAGGAATCTTCTAGTGCCTAAAAACTGCCTGCTCACTCTCTCGAGCCAGGGAGCTGCTGTGTCCATAAGCACAATAACAATCTCTTTTGCCTGCTGGAACTTTCTGGTTCCCACTGAGTGGCCCTTCTTTCGCTGATGCCCCATGCCCCTCCCCGAGCCTCCTCGGGATAGGGAGGGTTTTCCTTCCCTCAGCTGCCTCCCCACTGTTGGGAACCCTGCCCAGGTCCAGCTGGCTGCCCCGCCCATAAGATCCCTTTTACCACTCTTCTGGGGAAATCTGCCCCTTCCCTAGCCCTAGATGTTTCACCCCCAAGTTCCCTGGCGCTTTGCTCTAGCCCTCCCAGAGGAGAGTAGCAGTGGGGTACAGGGACTTTTGGGGTGCCCTCCCCAGCAGCCTGATTATGTTCTCCATGCCTCTTGGTCTGAACAATGACCCACCACTCAGGCCTGCCTTCCCCTCCCCTGCTCTGCTCCCTAGAGGCATCTGCCCATGGCCAGAGAACTGCGGGTGGGGAGGGCCACTGTGATGCCCTGGATTTCAGGAGCTCACCATTCCCATTGTCCAGGGCTCCACCTGTCTCCCACATGCACGTCAGGCAGGATGGAGGCAGAGGCTTCTAAATAGGGGTGGCTCAGCCCCCAGTCAAGGAGGACCCGAGTCCCTTGTCCTGCACCTTGCCCGCTCCTCTATCCCCATCAGTGCCCACTGCTTGGCCCCTTCTCAATTTAGAACTTGCTCTCTCTGCCTGTTTCCCCTTCTCCGACCTCTCTTCCCCCTGTAGCTCCATTACTCCCTCCTGGTTGTTGCTGCTTCAGACCAGTGCCTCCTCTGGATCAAAAGGACAGAGACCCATTAGCAAATGCAAATAAGGTCCTTCTGGCTATTGGTCTGGGGGCTAACTGGGCTGCTCCCCAGTCCTTCTTCTACAGGGGGCACTAGGGCACCAGGCAGATCCATGCCCTCAGCTCTGTTGGGGACTGCCCCTGCCAGCCCATCTCAGCCCCTTCCTTGCCTCCAACCTGGAGGGTGAGATGGATGTGACAACCTCCTGGATAGTGGACAGTGAACTAAGCAGCATCCACTCTCCCAAGACCAGAGCCAGAAATGGGGAGAAAAGGGGCTCCTCCATTCTTAAGGCCAGGGCACATCCTTGGGTTGGGGCTTGGGAAATCAGCTCCCGACTACTGGGTGAAGGTATGATACTAAAAATGTGACTGTCACCATAGTCAGACTCCAGAAGCAATGACCTTAACCTGGGATTTTAGATTCCCCCAGTTCTGCATACAATATGTGTGGCCCTTTAAAAGGGGGGTGGGGTGGGGAGAACTTCCCAGTGTCACCCTGGGAATTTTTAATCTAACCAAGTACACTATCCACAGAGAAATCAATTGACTGATTCCTCTTATTTCAAGAGTTCCAAAGCTCGTCTCCCCCAAATGCTCCCCAGTGTATGAATCAGGAGGGGATTACAGCTCAGGGTGATGAAACAGCCTTCAGCCTCCCCACTGGGGTGGTGTCACTAGGACTCGGAGGCTGTGAGGACAGGGATAACTCTCTGCCTTCCTCCCCTACAAACACATAAACCTTCTCAAGGGCTGGTCCCCAGGGGTTTATGAAAGTGTTCCAGAGGCAAGGCTAAGAGGGTTGGGCTGGAGGAGGTCAATCTAAACAGAGCAGTTGGTGACTTCCAGAAACAAAGGTATGTCTCATAGCTGGTCCCCTAAACCCATGGCCTTCTAACCCAGCCCTTGGCAAGTCCCCTTGAAGGCTGCCTGTTGGCTCACAGGGGAAAGGATGTGGGTGGGTGAGAATCCCCTCACCAAGTATCTATACACACATACACCCCAAACCAGAAACCTGATCTCATCTCCCTCATCTTGTATGAGAGGCGTCTTCTCAGCATCAAGTTCTCCAGCCCTGTCTGTCTGTCTCAGGGGTTGATAGATAGCTTGATTCCAAAACATTTCTCATCCCCGCCTTACTGCTGTCCAGTTTAAAATCTCTGGTGTCAGTGGGGTCAGAAAGTTCTACCTGAACCCTTACTTCTTTTAAATGATTCTTCTGCTTCACCATTGGGTCTGGAATGAAGGAAGGGAATGAGGGAGGGAGGTGGAAGGGAGAAAAAGGAGAGAAGTCTACAAACTTGCTTCAATTCAGTCCCTCATTTCAAAATTCATAAGATCGTGTCTTAACTAGGACACAGAAGTATCTCATTTACGCAGTCGTCCCATCCATGTTTGCAGAACAAGCTTAGCCACATTACTGGACAAGTTTATATCAGATAAGAGAGGATTCTGGGGCTGGAACCCAGAATTCCAGCCCCACCAGCCCTCCCCTACAATTAAAGTCCCCCTCCCCCAGCAAGGGAAGCCCAAAGCCCCCCATTTTCCTCTGCTTGCTTTGTTCTTTGTACAAGTCTCCATTGCTCTGATTGGAATGGACTGAATCTGCACAGGCTCTCTCTTGCCCTAAACGTTCTTGCTGGTCTACTTGGCCTTAATGGCAGTGAAACTCTTACTCGTGCTCTTCCACCTTTCCTGTCTTGTTCCTCCAGTTAACTCTTGGCTCCATGAATTCATAAGCCACAATTCCCAAGAATTCCTTTAACCCCCTAACTGGGCTTCTGCCCTCAGGGCTCCCCAGTATCTTGGGTGATGGGTCTGCCTTCTAGAAAGTTCCAATCCTTCCCTTAATTTACATTTCTCTTTCCCTTTCCACTCTTCCACCCTGAAACTCCTGTTGTAACCCTAGTCTTCTATGCCATTCAGTCTTTCCTTCCTCTCATTTCCCTGGCCCTGGCTTCTTCCTCAATTTACCTTTCTCCATCCCTGCTTTTTTTCCCCTCGGTCCTTCTAGTTCTATAACTTAGAGCTCTCAATGAAAACAATCAAAGAACCAGACATTCTTCATGTCTTCTGTTTGCCTCACTGGTTTATCCTTTTCCTCCTGTCCCTATGAGACGATACCCCAGGGCACGTAGCCAAGCGCTCTCCCCTTCTGATCTTTGGGAGGAAAGGGAGGGAAGCTGCCCTGTCAGAGGCATCGTGACTCAAAGATCAGCTTTGGTTCCTGCAGCTGGCAAGTCCCCTGAAGCTCCTGCCCCGGCCTGTCACTAACCCAGAGACTCCTACTCTGGCCAAAGATTCATATCCTTGAGGGCTCTCAGCCACTGTTCCACCTCACTTACACCTGTCCTGCTTACGTGTGTCACAGATCCCCCTTTGTTCTGAAAGATTGGAGAGCCTCATAACTCTCCAAGCATGGAGAAATACCCATTCCAATAACCCTGCCACCAAACAATCCATGTTCTTCAGAGATACCTTGTCTGCCACCAGCCTTCCATCCTCAGAGTCCATCCACAGGCAAATGTGGACTTGACCCATGGTATTCTGAAAGGGCTGCTGATGACCTGGACCCTAGAAAGCACTTGCTCTGGGAAGAGTTGACATGTTACCCCCCGCATACATTTCCCCATCCTCCCCAAACCTGGGAAACTTTGCTCTGAAGTATTTTCAAGGAAGCTAGTTGTGTTTTAATGAAGTATTTTTCAGGGTTCAAATGTTATTTTTTATAAATGCAGCATTTTAATGACTGATACAATATGAAAGATATGTCTTCCTGAGCTCTATATTTGGTTTCAGAAGGCAGCATACTACACAAGGAAAAAGCACAGGGCTGAAGCTCCTGGAGACATGGCTTCTGCCCTGGCTTTGTCTCCATCTTGCTGTGTGACTGAGGACGAGTCACGCTCTTGCTCAGTGTCTCAGTTTCCCATAAAACGAGGAGCTTAGACTAGATGAGCTCTGAAGTTTCATTCAGCAATCACATGCTAGGGCTTTCATCCACCACTGGCACCCCCGCTTTTCTTCGCATTCCTCCCCCACATAAACTGAGCTGCATGCATTCCATTAAGGCTGCCCTACAGTGATGTCCTCAGAGGCCCTAGACAGCCACCAGATTCCTTGCCAGAGCCTGGGGTGGGCCCCATGATTTCGGCCACCTCGGGATGTTTTCATATCTGAAGGTGTATGGGATTCCCATTCAGTGGTTACCAGCCACATTTCATGGAAGTCCTCTCATATCGACACACCTAAATCATCTGGGGTGTTTGTGTCATTGGGAAATACTGAATTTAAAGTTTTCATTTTGGTATGGTCCCTAAAGCTGGAGGGAGGCAGTTCTGATTTCAGAGAGGGGACAGGCTTGGGGAGAAAGGTCCAGAGGTTGGCCCACAAGGGCATGGAGTTTGTATTTGAGAGCAGCTTGGAAATGCATTCCAAGGACAGAGGAGACTGCCTGGCAGAGGCTCTGTGTGGCAATGATGTTACATCTTACTCCAGAGGCTCTGATCTGAAGACTGAGTCTGGATACTCCCCGTTCCACCTGGAGGAGGGGAAGGCATCAACCCCTTGGGCTGCTAGGAAGTGGGTACCCATCCTAGTACCTTTCTAGACCCCCCCTGTGACACTACTATCCTCCCAGTGAAAGCTTGTGAAGCAAGAATTGAGAGTACAAGTCAGTATCATCAAACCCATCTTGTAAATCGGCAAACACATCAACTTTCATCCGTCAGAGAAATGACATTATATGTTTCCTTAATACCCTCCTTCCTGAGGGAGAGGAAGACCCCTGCTCAACTTCGCTGCCCACTCCTGCTGTGACCCTTGGGAGAACTCATTCATTTGCTTCGTAGTGGCAACTATTCCTCTAGTTCTATAACTCAACTAGACATTTTGTAGTCAAGAATTCTTGAAATTCTCTAATAAAAAGCAATTCTTACTGTAATATTTTTAGTTTGGGGACACTATTTCCTAAAGGGGGGATTAACGAACATTTTTATGCATTAGCCCAATTTATGAATTCCGTGTTTATTATATGGTAGTACTGATGAAAAGTACCTTTCTATCTGTACCTTTGCACAGTGTCTTCATTCCTCATCAGTAAGCTTCATGATGAGCAGTGCTCTCGTAACTGCTGCTTCTGTACAAATCTTATCATTCTACTTACCTGTCAAAGCACAGCCTATATGTACTGTAAACAGATATCACTTTAGTAAGATTTAGTCTTAAGGACTTTTCCACTTTTGTCAGTAACAGATATTTATGGATTAAAAAAAAATAAAGCCGTTTCAACATAACCTGTGTCTCTTAAAGTATCCATGTGCTTAATTTTACAAACACAGAGCCAAAACTAAAGGGAATTAAAAATCACGGAAGGATGTAGAAGAAGATCATTGGAGATGGAGGCAGAAGAAGGGATTGATGGCAACTGGAAATGAGGAAATTTTAGGGTGATAGAAGCGCTTTAAAATTGGATTATGGTGACAACAGTATAAATTTAGTAAAATAGTATACTCACAATGGGTGAATTGTATGATATGCAAATAGCCCTTAATGCTTTTAAAAATGGTAAACAAAAGGAATGTAGGGAGGGAGGCTTGGGACAAGTGCCAATGGGCAAGGTATACCAATTCAAAATAGAATTAGAAGTTATAACTTTGCATCTATCTTCATCTACTTTAGCAATATTAGTCATGGACATTAGGTCTTAGTTTGGTTTTAGAGGTAGTTCTTGTAGTTACCACAGGTAGTTAGAGTATAGGTGGTGCAACATCCATGCCATTTAAACCAGAGAATCACGCTGCCCCATGAAAATTGATATAGATTCAGAGTCTTGCTCAAGACCCTCTTTCTTTGGGCTCATTTTAAATATTATTTTCTTTGGCACATATTCACTTATGCTGTTAAGGTCATCTGTTGTTCTGTGTTTCTGAAATTTCACCATAACCTAGATACTAATGGGCTCAGGTTCAGCAAACAAAGTGTTGCCAAAAAGGGCATGGTCTCTGGCCAACATCAGTACCTCCATAGTTCATAGAATCCATAGTCAGTCAGACTCTAACCAACTGCCCAGCTCCATAGTAATTAAAACCTTTCTCATTGGATGTGTTAAGTTTATGCTCCAAAAAGCTTTTATTATCTCTTGCTAATGGCATTCTTTACCTAGGACAAAGTTACAAGCCTGTCTACTATTCTAATACATAATAGCACATAACAACACATATTCTGAGATGTATTTTGCTCACTACGTCATTTGCTCCCTAACAGTCATTATTATAGTTCATTGCTTCTAAGTCATAGTGTCTCACTTATGATGACTCATAGCAAGCACACACACACACACACACACACACACACACACAGAACAAGTACAGAAATGCTTCATTAATCTATGTTCATTATTGGAAGGAAAACAAAAATGTGAATTGGAGAAAAATTTAAATTGAAGTGCAATTTAATTACAATGCTTACATACACATATAATGACTAAATGAGACTAGCAACATGTTCCCAAATAGAAAACCTCAAGAGGTCTTCCTTACTGAACAGGTAAGAATAATGGGTAATTAATATAAAAATAATCAAGAGGTATGGGTCAGAGAGTTATGAATATGCTCTAAGTTGTGCTGTTAAAATACTTTAAAAGATTATTCTCTTAAAAAGGCTAAATATCCCCCTTTAAATATCATTAAGTCTAACAATTTATTCAACTTTTTCTCTTTGATTCTCAAAAGTAAACCTCAATTTAGCCCCTGTCATAGTCGTCACTAATTCCAAATTGGTGGGATCTGCATAAATGAGGCCTTAGTATACTATCATTAATAAGCCAAGGCCAGAGAAAACTCATGTTGGAAGCATTGAGATGCCAGGAGTCTCAGACAGCTTTTCATCTTTCAGTGTCACTTTGGACACTGATCTTTTTCCTCTTTGGTCAAGCATGATAAGCACGAAACTTCTAGAAAGGAGTAAGAAATCTTTTCCTTCAAGATTCTAAGAAGAAAGCCAAGGACATTCAGTGTTTGGACTACAAGTGTGTCAGGAGTGGGAAAATCAGAAAGAGCAGAGGTCAGGAATGAGAGCTTTGAAAGTTCCAGAATGAGGGACTCAGTAACTTTTACACTATGGATACGTTGGCCAATGTCATCTCTGCACCATGGTTGTCTCATCTGTAAAGGTTGGGATGTTAGACTCAAAGGTTCTTCCCATGTCTGATATATCTTATCCCTGAATTATCCCCAAACAATACTCAAATTATATCTGGGCTTCTAGGTAGCTGAATAAACTTGTGAGCAACCCATCCTGCTGTTTTCCTTGGTTCTGCTCATCTCATCTTCCCCATCCTATGAGGATAGGACGTAGTCAAAGAGCACTGGTCTGGGAGCCAGAAGACTTTGTTCATTGTACTGGCTCTGCCAGCACTTTGTTATGTAACCTGGAAAGACTTATTTCTCTTCTTCAAATCTCAATTTTCTCATTTAAAACAAAATGAGTGGGCCAGGGTACTCTAAGTCTCTAAAATCCTTCTTCAGCTTCTTTAGTCTTTGCTCTGTGACCCTGTCAAGATCTGGCAGGGAGTTGGTGAGCTCAGCTGGTACTAGTCATGGCGGGAGGGTAGAGTGGGAGGGTAGAGTGATGGAAGGGAAGGAGAAAACCCTTGGCTGGGCCATGCTTATGAGATAGCTTCTTCCCAATCGCCAGCATATCTATCCTGTGTCAATAAGATGGCTATAGAGGAAGAAAAGGTATTAAGCTAGAGGAAGAACAGGGCCTTTAGAAAATTACCTATTCTGTTTAACTTAACTTTTTGTGATTTCCCAAACTACACAACTTATCTGTTAAAACACAAACTCCCAAAGAATGCATTTCACTGAAAGTTCTCAACAGGTCATTATTTTTACTGTGTTTTTCCATAAAAATAGAGCTCAAATGTGTGTTTCAAAACCAGGGCTCTCTCCACAAAGAGAAGAGTGGTTTTTCCTCCAGTCTCAGTCTCAATCCCAACGCCAAGTCCTGGAAGTATGTGTCAAGTGTAGAAGACTAGGACCACTGCTCTCGTTCCCAATTCTGTGTACCTTAATGATTCCTCTTGGACCATTTATAAGAGTTACTCCTGCTGGTTCTTTATAGCAACCATGGAGAAGACCTCTTCTGCTACCCAGGGGATATGGGTCCACACAGTTGTTTTCATTTTAGACTTGGGGAAAATGAAAAACTCTCATCTAATCCAGTGCTAATCAATGTGTGCCTGCAAAGCAGCAACATCAGTACCCCCCAGAGCTCATTTCAATGCAGATTGCCACTCCCAACCTGGACTTACTGAATCAGAGAATCTCTGGGGGCGGGAACCCAGAATGTGCCGTATAACAAGATCTCTAGGTGACTCTATGCACGATAAAGTTTGAGAAGCACATCATTCTGCCCATCCCCCTTTTTTTCAGTTTTTAAATTTTATAACCCTGTAAGAATAAGGACTTGGAATTCAGGGAACAGAGTAGCCTTGAACTATATGCAGCCAAAAGATTTTAAGCAAACCGCTTCAGTGAAGAGGTTAGAACAAAAATGAGTTTACAGAGGATTAAGTATTTAGGAAACGAGGAGAAAATAGAGGTGTATAAACTATCTATAGGAAGGTTTAATAGAGGAGACTATATGTGACTGTTAGAAGGCATCATAAGGTTGAACAAGAACTTTTAAAGTTGGCAGAAACCTGAAAGTGTTAAACTTTGAAGAGAAAGGAGAATTGGGTAAGGACATGGACACAGAACAAGATCCATTCCCTAGGGCACAGGAGGGGCACAGGAGGAGGAAGAGCTGCTCCTCTGAAACTTCTTGGGAAGCCAAGATGGCGGTCATCGTGAGATAATGAGAAGGGACTGCTCAGGGAGGTTTTCCTGGAGGGTCTTAAATCTCCCTGGTAATGTATGATGCAGTCATTCAAGCAGGCAGAATAGGCTGGATTATGCTATGGTGATAACTCCCAAATCTCCCTAAAATACCAAAGAATTATATTTCACTTCCACTCTGTTGTGGATCAGCTAAAGCTTCTGTTGCACTTCCTCATCCTTACTCAAGGACTCAGAGATATCTGGAACAGCCACTATCTGTAGCGTTGCCTGCCATCATAACAGAGGAAAGTTAGAACTCTGAGCGTCTGGCAAACGACAATTAAATGGCAGCCCAGATGTGACACATAGCACTTCTACTCAAACATTCTTGGCCAGATCTGGTTACACAGTCCCACCCCACGACAGGGGAGCCAGAAAATGTGATTCTACTCTGTTCCAAGCAGATGGGGAGCAGGAAATATCCAGTGAGTAGCATCAATGATCACCACAGTTGCCATGTCGTGCTGAGAGCTGAAGACTGGAAATTTAGGGGCAAATGGCCCCTCCTCTATTACTGTAGTAAAACCATCACAATGTTCTCATTTCTAAAAGCATGAAAACTTTTCTGTAGCTGATTTATTTTATATGAAGCTAGTGGTATGTCCATTTTCATTTCAAATTGGTTAGTAGATGTCTTAATCAGGAGTCATTTGGTTATAAGAAATAAAAATGCACTCAATTAGTTAAGGCAAAAAATGAAAATACTATTTATTATTACTATTACCCTCAGATATATAAGCATCTAACAGGATCTAAGGCCTGAATATATAACTGGGCCTCTGCAAATCTAAGAAGTTGAAAGTCAGTCAAAGCCACGGCAATATTCTCTCCCCAGGTGGCATGTACTCTCATTTCCTCCTCTCTGAAAACCTCTATTCCCCTGTCTGTGGTTCCTTTCACACATGGTCAAACCTGACTGAAATGACATCTTCAGCAATTGAGTCTGCATAATCTCCCAGGTCCAACCCCTATGGGTAGTTGACACAATCTCTCTGTGCCCCATTTCCAAAATTCCTAAGAGGAAATCTGAAAATCTCTATAGTATATAAGTTATCTATTGCTGTATGAAAAAACACCCCACATTTTACACATAAACGGCAACACCTAATTATTGTTACAATCTCTCATGATTCTGAGGGTTGACTGGGCTCAACCATACAGTCCTCATGAAAGTCCCGTATATGGTTGCAGTCAGGTGGTAGCTGGAACTGGAATCATCTCCAAGGCTTCCTCACTCACATGTCTGGCTATTAATGCTAGTTGTTGGTTGAGACCTCAAAGGAGGTTATCAACTAGAACTCTTACATGTATCCTCTCCATGGGTTTCCTTACCACATGGCAGTTGGGTTCCAAGAGCAAGCATTTGGAGACAGGAAGAAAGAGAGGGAGTGGGCAAAAGTGAGATATTGAAA